ATTACAATCGAGATGGAAAAAAAAATGTGCAAAATGATGTAAAAGTAAACTTTGTAATTAAATAAATAATAAATAAATAAAAATAAAAAAACATATCATCCCCACTTCTAAAAAAAAATTACCTATATAATAAAATACAGACCCTCTAGCTTGCTATAACTTAACTTGAGATTCCTACTTCTGCTAATATACATAGACCCTCTACTGGCCAAACTGACCTTCTTACTCTCTGGTCGTATTTTCTACTCTTGCCTTCTCTAACCTTTGATTCCTGCTCTTCCTTAATAAAGGGTTCCTAATCCCTACTATTGTATCTACCCTTTCTCTCCAGCTATGGAAATCCTTCATATCTTTGAAGGCTTAACTTAAAGTTACCTTCTTCAGAGAAATTTTTGGAATATTTCCAACTGGCATTCTAGGAGGTAGCCTTGTACAGAAGAAAATAGATTGATTTGTTTTGTTTTGTTTTAAAGATTTATTTATTTATTTATACAGAACTAGGGTACAAGCCAGAGATGCAGAGGGGGAATAAACATAAAATAATGAGAGGATTCACCAGGGACAGAGCGGGGAGCAGAACAGGCAGATCGACAAAGTACACTGCTGAGGGGAGCAGCAGGCAGGTCAGGAGAGGTCTGCCACTCCTGGTGGATCTCCTCCGGGGCAGGCGGGAATCGAACCCATGTGGAAGTGGCTTAAGCTTCTTAGTGCAGTGCTTTAACCCACTACGCCACCAGGGGGGACCGAAAATAGATTGATTTTTAAAGTTTCTTAGTTATGTATTGTTGTGTAACAGATCACCTCAAAACTTGGTGGCCTGAAACAGCAACCATTTTATTTCTAGTTCAGTAAGTAGGCTGGACTTTTCCTGCTGGTTTCTCTTAAATTTATTTATGTGATTCCATTCACCTGGTATGTCAACTGGGAACTGAGCTTGTCTTGGAGATCTGGGCTTCTCTCCATGCAGTCTTTAATTCTCTAGGAAGCTAGATTGGGTTTATTCACATTTATTTCCAAGAAAGCATTCCAAAGAGGAAAGTCCCATTGTAAGAATACCGAGTTTGTTTGTCCTACATTGATTAAACAAGTCACATAGTTAAGCAAAGATGGGGATATCAGGAGGTATGGGTATGGTTCATTGGTGGCCATTAGTATATAATTTTTCATATCCCAATGATTCACATTCCTTATGTAGAATACACTTACCACCTCCCAATAACCAAAGTTCCAGCTGTTTCATGGTGTCAAGCTTCAAGTCCATGACCATGTATTTTATGTTAGGTCTATTTGTGGATTTGGCTCCAGAAGTGTAACGACTCTTATTCCAGGAACCTGGAAATTAAAAATTTCAATTTATCTTTCTATGCATGTCTCTTCCCCTACTGCACATAGTCAGTTAGGAATAAGATACCCACAGTAGTCAATTCCATTAAAAAGAAGGAGGAATGGGGACCCTCCTGGTGGCGCAGCGGGTTAAAACACTGCACTGAGAATCTAAAGCCACTTCTGTATGAGTTCGATTCCTGCCTGCCCCGGAGGTGACCACATGGTGTGGCAGACCTCTCCTGACCCACCCGCTGCTCCCCTCAGCAGTGTACTTCGTTGATCTGCCTGTTCTGCTCCCCACTCTCTCTGGTGAATCCTCTCACCACCCCTGCACCTCTGGCCTGCACCCCAGTTCAGTATGCATAAGTAAATCTTTTTTTAAAAAAGCTAAAAAGAAAATTTGACACATGAAAAAGTGACAGGGATAGATTATGGGTAGTGAAACAAAGGTGGTCCATGAGAGATGACTCATTTTCATGATCATTAACTAGATTTGGAATTTTGGCTTAGTGTAGAATAGTTGCTTTTTTTTTTAGGGAATAACTTCCTTCAGATAATATGTTTGCATTCTTTTTCTATGTGATGCTGCACCTTTTCAAATCCTTCTATAATTCGGTACTTGCCAATGTGAGCCTTCCCTATTAAACATTCCCATCTTCTGTGGCATGCTTCTGGTTTGGGTATGCAGAAATTCATTCTGTATGTGCTCATATATAGGCCACAAGTTTGGCAGAAATGATACTGGGTGATGAAACAGCAGCACCGTTGTGTGTCTTCTTATGCTATGGTGTAAGTAATTATTTTTGAGCTAGTCAGTAAATTCCTGGCTTCCTGAGGCAAATGCAGCTTTAATTCATTAAAAGCTTCTGGAATTTCATCAACTGGAAGGAATACTAATGCAGACAAATGACGCATTTTTAAACTGAATTTTTTGTCATTGCCTTATATGTGCAGCTAGCTAAAAGAACCCAATAGACAATTTTAGCATTCTGCCTGGAAATCTCCTTATGCAGATCTGTAGGTTTATTATGTATATTTTCTATCTTTCAGGTTACCACAAGCAACCGTTCTGCCAGTTGTTTCATTACCTTATTGCATTGTATGCCCTTTCTCAAGTTTCCATTTTTAATTTTCTCCCGTTCCAGCATCCACTGAGTTAGTCCCCACCACTCTAACCTAAAGCCACTGACACATATTTTGAGCTTTTGTTGCAGCACCAACCTACTCCTAAATACAGTTTCTGTGTCAGATAGCTATTGCCAAACAGCAGGCTACTCTGAAAGTTGGTGACTTGAAACAGACATTTTACTTCGTATCATTCTGTGGTTTGACTGAGTGATATTCTGCTTGGTGGTCAACCATTCTTTAGTAAATGTTGATGACTTATGTTTACAAAAGCAATACTTTTGCCATTGTTGAAAATGAACAAATTATAGAAAAGGAAAGAAAAGGAAACATCTCATGAAATCCCATCTGATATGGTACCATATTATAATGTCTTCAACAATGTTCTCTGTCTTATTTAATATTGATTCTTATTCTGAAAGGTAAGGTTCTTGAAGAAAGAGGCCAGATTTTACTCATCTCTGTAAATCCTATTGCTTTGCATTTAGGATTAAAAAAGATAATGCGTAAAAGTACTGAGCCAAATGGCATACACAGGTTTTTTTCCACTTAAATTGAAGTTTTATTAGGTATGAAAAATTTTTAGAATTCCTAAAGCTACAGAAGTGGGAAGGGTATACTGACAGTAAAATAACTGAGCAGATCTGTAGAGGGTGTCTAGCTTCTTCCTGGGGAAACCTGGTGACTCTTGGAGAAGAGAGTAAGAATGATAGAAAGAAGCGAAGTGTCAAGATCTTACACTACTCAATAGGGAGGCCTCTATTACAAACACTATTAACAGAAATAATTTTTTTTAAATCGAGAGACCTGTCAATAAAGTACCTTATTGTTGAAAGCTGAAGTCTGACATATTGGTCAAAGCTGAAGTCTCACCATAGTGATCTGGTGCTATTCTTCACACTCAGATAAGTCTTACCTTTTTGTTTTAGTCAAAGAAGTTTGGCAGAAATCACAGAACTTATCCATACAGCTCTCCTCGTACATCGTGGGATAGTAAACTTAAGTGAATTGCAATCTTCTGATGGACCACTGAAGGACATGCAGTTTGGAAATAAAATAGCTATCTTAAGTGGAGACTTTCTTCTAGCAAATGCCTGCAATGGACTAGCTCTGCTAAAGAACACCAAGGTAAACCTGGGTGTAGTTTGCTTGTTTGGGGTGACTTTTAGATACTGTCTATGGATTGCTGAAACCAGAGAACAGGAAAATTGTGATGATGTCGATGAAGACAGTGTCGATATCTGGTAACTGGTAAATCCCAGGAAAGAGTCTTTAAAATGACTTTTTCTGATAATAGGTTAACTTATTTAATTATAGGGTTGAGTTACATATTTGATAAAAGGATATAAATAAATATTACATGTAATCTCACTACCTGGAGATGATTACTATTGATGTTTTGATGGATTTGGGTTCAGTCTTTCTTCTTTTTTAAATATCTTCATATATGTGGATTTTTTGGTAGCATGGATCAAAGCTTTCATATAAAAGGTTTTTTTTTTTTTAAATCCTGCCGGTTTTTCCTGCTTCATGTTATATAGGCTTTTGCCCATGTTATTAACATTTTTCATAAGCTTTTCTATGGTTATATAATACTGATTATTTAAATGTTAATATCATTCATCTAATAAATTCATCTTTTGGAATTTAGGTTGCTTCTATTTATCATAAATAGACATATAATAAATATCTGTACACATCAATTTTCCTCATTCTAGATTATTTCATTAAAATAAATACCTAAAAATTCAAAGGCTCTAAACACTTTTAGTATTCTTCATACATACTGTCAAGCTGCTTTCTAGAAAGATTCTAGAGACATTCTTGATATATCGGTTAGAATTAAGTTTGACTATAAAATATTGGTGGCAGGACTATTTTGTGTGTGTGTATGGACATCCAGGAGCAGACAGTCCTAAGTTGGAATGGTAATTCTACAACATCAGGAATCTAGTCTCCTGTCTTACTGTTCTGTCATTCCTATCTTAACCACTTCACAGCCCAAGGTAGTTGCTGTTGATAGGAAGGAAGGAAGCAGAAAGGCAGCAAAGAGCAGATTTCCTTCTCTTGAAGATCAGTGAGTGTATGTGCTGATTTGCTAATAACAATTTCAGTGTAAGTCTGCTACCCCAGAATCCCATCTGACTTAGCATTTGTCCTGGAGTTTTCACTTTTTAATAGAGGATGTTTGCTAATAATTATGTCAGAGTAAGACAAGATGGGTTTATAGATCTACAGTTTATAATTGCTGTCTTTGCCTCATTTTGTGTTACTATTGGCTAATTGTACATGAGAACCATGTATAATGGAGAGAGTTTTTATATTATTATTAAATTTGAAAGACAACAACAATAATTCATCCCTTCTCTAACCTTTAGAGAAGGTTAGAGAAGGTTAGACGTCCCAGTCAAGGGCAGAATGCAGAGCAATTCCTGATACAACAAAGTATACTGAGTGTCTAGGGGCAGTAAACTCCTGTTTCAGGTGGTGGGAGAAGTTTATACTGCTGTCCCAGCTGGCCACTTAGAGTAACAACATATTGTGTGGTCCTTGAATGACCTCAGGAATCACAAAGACACCAGATTCTAATCCAAAAAGTTCAGTGGTAAACCAAGTAAATTAAAGGGTCAATGTCTATGAAATACATAAAATATATACATAAAATCAAGTTTCATCAATTCTGTGTAGAACGCACTTGCTTATATAATGAAACCTTCAACTATGTTACTGTTTGACAACGCTATTTTTGCAGTAAAACTTTTGGCAAGAGTATGTTTAAAAAAATTTTTTTTTAATTACTGAATTTTTGTTTCTTGAGAAAATGATAGGGCTTATGTAACTTTTATATTATATTGACACTTACTCTTCACTGTGGAGACCACGTTAGTATCACTGAGCACAGGAAAACAAGAGTCAGATCTGGAGAAGTGTCAGAATCTACTTCCAAAGTTAGTAGTTTTTTTTTTTTTTAAAGAAACTGCCTGAATATGATGATTTAACATACAAAGCAGCTCAAGATGTACATAACTTTTATTTATTCTAAATTAATTTCACTTATTTTTTACCATTAATTTTTATGTGGACAGAAAAAAGGAAGTAATATCTTTGTTTCTTTGGTTCCATTGGCAAAATATCTTTGCAAACAGTTAAATAATACCAGTTTTTAGTGAGTGCCATCAGTAAAGTAATTAAACCACTGTAGTTGCATCTTAAAGTGTTTTATTTTTCCTACCCATTCATAGAATCAAGTTAAAGCATTAGTGGGTGAATAGTCCATCAAGAAAAGTCACTATGAATGATGTTGGAGGTTCAGTTTAAAAGTTCAACATTGAAGATAAAATTCTACTTATAAGAATAAAAGCTACTCTTATAAAAACTTACAAGTATCTTTATAGACAGAATCTCTGAACTATAAGATTTGGGGGATGTAGCTGATGTTGAATATAAAAATATATTTTAGTATGGAGTGTGCATTCTCTTATGGTTGCCTGTCTTCAATGATATTTTCAGAAATCTTTATATCCAAAAATGGCATTTAACTTTATTATACTGGACCATCAAATGTTGGTGGCATTTTGTTCAAAGTCAGCTGGAAATCTTAAATCAAGTGTTCATCAAATGAAATACCAAATGAAACGTTTAGGGAGTTACAACTAATGAAAACAAAGCTTCCATTGCAGGTTTTCCCTATAAAAAGAAGGGAGGAAATGAATAAAATAAATAATAAGAACTCAAATGCTATACAGGATTAAAATTTGCAATTCTATATTTATGACTTGGAAAATCTCACCTTACAGGAAGACTCTTGTGGTGGTGTTCCTGTGTTGAATAAATTATATGCACACACAAACCAAATGAAATTGAGAAGGCCTAGATTTTGCAACATCTGATTTTGGCTTAACATTCAAAAGAATCACAGAATGATTTATTAGACAAGTTTTGTGTAATAAAAATATTGTCAAAAAAAGGTATTCTGAAGGAAGCAAAAAGACAATACCTTGAAAATATTTGGGCTGGAACAGTTACACTTTTCATCTGAAAAAACTAGAATTCAAAACCTGTTCCATGTAGCAAATTTGCTCTGAACTTAGGACCTTAGAACCTTTAGAAGGAACATTTTCTCAATTAAAACTATTACAATTTCCCAGTAAGAATCAAATAATTTCAAATTAATCATGAAATATATATATGAAGAAAATATTGGGCAGTTTTTTTAATGCTATATTTTTAAAAATATACTCTTCAAAAATATGCTAGTAACAGTAATAGAAACAAATATGGCTAACAAACTAAGGTATGAATACATATTAAGTGTAATTATTCTACTTTTTAAAAATAATATAATAGTTTATTTTTACATCATTTTGTGCATTTTTCCTTCTCAGTTGTAATCCCGTGGGCTTCCCATCACCAAATAACCCATGTGCCATCACCATAGTCTAGTGCACTTCCTTCCCACCACTGTTTTTGATCCCATTCCCCATTCTATCCCTGTAAAATATCTCTGGTATATAGTTGTTTATTATTATTATTATTTTCTCCCCTGGTCCTTTATACTCCTGCTGTTAGTGAAACCGTCTACTAGTTATTTTTTTAATGCTCAGATAGTAAAGGTAAAGGAATTCCTTTTTATTTCAATATACATAGACATTCTCCTTACTTGTTTTAGTTTTTAAAATAGTTTTGGGCTATAATTACTGGAATCCATCAATATATAAATCAGTTATTAGTTAATAAAATACATGTTACACAAATATAAATCTTAATTATTTTAGCACTTTCTTTTACTCTCAAGTATCCCAGTTTGGATGTTACCATTTTAAAGACATTTCTCAGAAGTAATTTGAGATCCATCTCTTTATATCCTGTTGGCCAGAATTTAGTAATATAACCACACCTATCTATCAACCTGTATGGGGAGTCATGGCCGAACCAAAAATCTGGAAGATACAGAACAAAGATAATGGGAAGACAAATTGCATTCTGCTTCCCATCATATTTTTCATTAGCACATATATTTTTTTAAAGATTTATTTATTTGTACATACAGAACTGGGGTACAGGCCAGAGGCTCAGGGGCGGTGAGAGGCTTCACCAGAGACAGAGTGGGGAGCAGAACAGGCAGATCGATGAAGTACACTGCTGAGGGGAGCAGCGGGCGGGTCAGGTGAGGTCTGCCATGCCATGTGGTCACCTCCGGGGCAGGCGGGAATTGAACTCATGCGGAAGCGGCTTTAGATTCTCAGTGCTATGCTTTAACCCCCTGCGCCACCAGGGAGGGCCCATTAGCACATATTTTAATGGAACAGCCAAACAAGGGAGAATATACTATCATACCTTTAATATGTAGCTTATGTATATGTGAAAGGGAAACTAAATGACGTGACCATGTAAAATGGAATAATAGTCTCAAGTCTCCCTTCAGTCATTTATTATCATCTAGGCATTCTTTTTACCCTCAAATTGCTGTATTTTCTATGTATAAAATTTACTCTGATAGGTCTTACTAAATCCTCTTCTTTACTGAAATTTGCATATTAGTGGATGAATGAGTAATTCATCACCTCTCTCTGTATTGTAAAGCTTCCCTCTTCACTCTACCTGCTGCGATCTGTGATGAAGTTTGGGCTTTAGAGAAGGGAGCCTCAGAGAGCTTAAAAAGTTTAAGTCTTGCATAGTTTCTGACGGCCTTGTGCTACGCGTGAGTAGTTCTGTCCACACACTGGCCACTCCAGAGTTACACCCACATATCTGAGTGGAAGATGTTATGGCTATTTTTATTAAATCCACTCTTGACCCCTATCAGCATGACCCCTATGTTAAAAAGAAATCAAGACTTACTGCTTTTTTTCTCTAATCATCAATTTTAATTTAAGTAGTCTGTAAAATCTTACATATATTTAAGTAGTGGTGTTAAATAACAGACGGGTATTCATTCGCTTTACTACTTCACTTTAATGTGAATATTTAATTTTCTTGTTTCTTGGTTGGTTTGTATCATTCACACATTCTTTCTTTTATTGTTGCTCAAGTTCAATGAAAATTGAGGCTTTACTCCCATCAAAATCAAATCAGATTCACAGCCTGTGAAACCCACTCTTGGTGTTTTGCATTCAAAAGCTTCACTA